AAAAACTAATTTCCAATTTGAGAGAGCTATTATCTAGATGGAAAAACCATGGTTTCATTTCTTATGCAACCTATAGATCTCTCTTGTTTACTGATGGTACTTTACCTAGAGCTTATGGCCTACCAAAAATCCATAAGATTAACATTCCATTCAGACTCATTGTTTCATCTATTAATAGTCCTCTCTATTCTCTCGCTCTATTTTTGCATAAAGTCATGATAAAGAACTTTCCTACTGCCTCCAGCCACATTAATAACAGCTGTGATTTGGTGCATTATTTGACGAGTGTTCGCTTGGATGACGACTCTAAATTGATCTCGCTTGATGTGATTTCCCTGTTTACAAATATTCCGATTGATCTTGCTCTTTTTAGCGTTTCAAATAGATGGAGGTTTATACGGGATGTCTGCGATCTGCCTGAATCGGAATTTTTAAATGCTGTTAAACTAGTTTTAAACTCTACTTTTTTTACTTTTAATAACATTATTTATAAACAAACATTTGGTACTCCCATGGGATCTCCCCTATCACCTATCATAGCTGATATAGTGTTACAAGACTTAGAAGAGAAAGCTTTGAATACGCTAAAATTTACCCCCCGACTATATTTTAGATATGTCGACGATATTTTAATGACAGTCCCTTCTGACTCTATTGACTTGACTCTTTCTATTTTTAATTCTTTTCATGACAGACTACAATTTACATCTGAATTAGAGACTGACCGTAAAATCAATTTTTTAGACGTAACTTTAACTGTTGAAAATAACGTTTTAATTTTTGACTGGTTCCACAAACCTACTTTTTCAGGCAGATATCTAAATTATTATTCCCAACATCCACTTTGCCAGAAGAAGGGCACGATCATCGGCCTCGTTGATAAGGTTTTCTCTTTGTCGCATCCAAGATTTCATTACAAGAATCTCAACCTTATTGTCAAAACTCTCTTGGACAATTGCTATCCTTTGAGCTTTATTTTTGATGTCATTAATCAACAGTTGAGATTCCTAATTAAGAGTCGTGATCGCATTGGGCATAGGACACTGAATAATTCCTCCACATTCTTCACGGTCCCTTATTTACCAAACGTCACAGATCAGTTTATGGGCATCACTAAGAACTTGGACGTCAAGCTATTCTACATTAGCTTAAACAAATTAAATAAATTTATCAAAGTACATAAAGATCATATTCCTTCTAACTGCAAAACTAATGTAGTCTATAAAATTAATTGTTCCGATTGTGATGCTTCATACTATATATGTTGGTCAGACCTCGAGAATGTTGAAGACGAGAATTTCTGAACATAGATCGCAGATTAATAGGAATCATGCAACTCGCTCAGTCGTCACAAATCACAGATTACAATGCGATCATGATTTTTGTTGGAATGACGTCCAAGTCTTGGATGAAACTCCATTCTATAATAGAAGGCTTATTTCCGAAATGCTGCATATTAAGAGACAAAGGAATGGTTTGAATTTACAGACAGACACAGAAAATTTACCGTCTTTATATCATGACATTATAAACAAGCTTCCGAAAATATGAAAGTCATGCTCTAGTATATATATCAGCCGTCTCTGTAACATTTTTGACAGTAACCGATCTTCATGTTGAACCTTGTTGTTTTTTTCAACATTCTCATTATCGCAGAACAGTTTCTCTGTAAGTACTTATATTATTAGTCTCCTCACATTATTTAAGAGATTTATTTTTGATGTTGCCAATTTCAGGCTGCATTTGGTACTGTTGTCAAGTTTCTGTTCTGCATCTAATTAACTCGCACAATGAGGTTCTTTATATCTCTCGCGATGGAGATCTATTATTTTGATAAACGTCTATTAACTTTGCGTCTATGCGACATCGATTTTTGATTTTATAACACTTATCATTACAATTTTTCTATGGTTCCTACACCACATTATTATTTGTAATTTTTATGTCACATCATTGCGCTGAAGAAGGCTCAAAACAAGAGCCAGAAACGTCCGTACCGTACATTTCTTTTATTATTATTTTTAACTATTTATATCGTACTTAACATGTTTATATCAATTATAGTTTACTTTATTAAATTATTATTACTTGTACTCGATCTTTAATAATTTATTTATCTACTTGCTCTCTATTGCCTATGTTCTTTCATTTCATTATTAAATTTGAAGAGAGCTTTTTTCAATATTTACAATAAAATAAATTTTTCATTGTATTTTTCATTATATTTTTTGCATGTGTTTTGGTGATGTGTGTTGCTCCGTTATTTATTTCTTTTACAGATCTTCATTTAGTCTGTTTGGAAGTATCTTTACCACCTTTCTTTCTTCCTATTATTAAAACTCTGCATTTTCTTGGAATGGAGCATTTTTGAGAAGACACATTTTCATTCTTGCTTAACGGATTATGTTTTCGACTGCTTTTTTATCAGCCCTGGAATGCTGGCAGAGGAGCATCACATATGACCGTTTCGCGTGTGGAAATTTCTGTCTTAAGAATTTCTCTCTTTATAATTATGCGTGCGATTTTTATTATATCCGATTTATATTATATTTGTTCTTGTATTTTTCTGTTTGCGTCCGTGAGATCTCTGTTCTTATTGACTTTATTGCGACTTTGACTTATGTTTTATTTTTATAATTTTCCATTATTTTGAATTTTTGCTGTTAGACATTGGTAATGATCTGAACGGGATCGAAACGCGCGTCTGTCGTTGTAATTAATTGTCATCTGATAATTTTATAAGTTACATGCGTTGACTTATCATATATTTAAAAAAATTTCCTTTTAATTTTAGCTGTCATTTTCCTAGCGCTGTGGTTTTTTTGCCTGTTTTTCCTCAATTCATTTTGATTGTTATCTTATAACCACTTTTATAATTTTATAATTTTTATATATGGAATTGTTAATTGCAAATTACATATTTTTTCTTCGAAGCAATTATGTTTGTTTACTCCAATGGATTCCTCTCATTATTTTGTATAAATATTATTTTGTATAAGTATTTTGTATAATTATTTTGTATAAAGTACTTTATAAGTACAAAATAATGAAAGAAATCAATTAATGTAACGTACTTTGTTATAAAAGTATTAACGTAGGATAATCGAAAAATGAATATTTTACTAGATATTTTACGGTTTATATAAAATTAAGAAATGATTTCGAGCCTCATAATTCGGAAAATACTTAATGAAAACTGACTTAATAATAATGTTTTGGAGAACTCTCGGAATGAACTATAAGAATATGCAAAAGCATATAAGATGTTCCGTTTAAAAAGTTTGATGTGACCTTCAGGTGACTCTTCAATGTCAAACTAATGATACCATCTTATGTCCCCCTTCAAGTCATACAACTTTCGTCTGAAACATTTTTTTATACAGTAGAAATTGAAAAAGTTATGAGGGTGGAATTTTTAAAATGGGACAGCCTATATATATATATATATATATAATTATTACAAAAAATATATTAATTTCTATTTACAAATATATGAATAAGATCACTAAGAATCACTAAGAATCAGTATTTTATTGGTCTCTAGTAGAAACGCTTATTTTTGTTATCTTATATTTCATTAATTATAATCAATGGAAGTAAAATAAATAATAGCTAGTTCTTTTAGTTACCACTACGATGCGCTATTTTTCTCGTACTTAAGTCTTACAATTAGTTATAAGAATTATATAAAGCTTGCAAAGGGCGACAGATAAAATTAAAAGTATTATTTCGATTTAATTTCTGAAACAATCTCAATAAGGGAACTTCAAATATTAAATCGATTTTATAAGTTGGACAAATAAATATATCGACCAATAAACGAAAATAATCCGTTCATTAGATAAATTATAATCAATATTAATGACTAAAACAATCAATATTACTAATTCTTTCAGTGAAATAATATTGATTTACAGTGCTATAATAACTTATAACTGCTGTATCAGTGACTCTATTGTTTTCACTGATAATATATTGATTCGCTTTTAGAGAGTGTATATGAATTATTGCATTATTTTATTAAGTCGAGAAAACAAACATTTAACAAATAAAAGGAAAAACGTATTTTAAATATATTTTAAACGTTTTCAAATGTTTTGTTATCAGAAAAGAAATGTGTAAATTAACATTTTTCAAATGGACATTTTAATTAATCAGAAACGTTTTCAAGAGTCGGTTATGAAATGTTTCGAAGAAACATTTGTTAAACATTTTTGAAACGAATATGTGTTAACTGGATTTATTAGATATTTTACAGTTTACTTAAAATTAAGAAATTATTTCAAGCTTCATAACTCGGAAAGTTTTCAATGAAAAATAATTATAGTGTTTTGAAAAGCTCTTGAGGTAAGCTACAAGAATATGAATTAAATAGGTGATTCTATTTAAAAAATTCAAAGTGATTTTTATGTGATCTTGACAGTATTATTCATACTAGTCATACTATTATTATTATGTAACGTGTAAGCTTAAAGCCTTATTTTGTTTGAAACATTTTTCACGAAAATGTATATTTATCTGAATATTCAAGGATCCCGGTACTTTTGGATGCTGTATATTTTCATTGTTTATTTTAAAACGTAACTGCAATATTGCTAATGTAATATTGTATAATAATGTCTCCGTAATATCTTTGTTGCATATTGCAATGTGCAATGTTGCACAATGTTGCAATACTGCAAGTTTCTGTGTTGTATGGGTGTTTTGAGTTGATAAAAAAGAAATCGCTGCGTATTCTGAAGACTATATCTGAAATCGACTATAAAAAATGTTTCGAAAATTGAAAAAACATTGGCATAAGTGTATTGCAGTGAGAGGAAATTATTTTGAAAGAACGAAATAAATTTGGATAAATAAATTCATAGTTTACTTTTTATTGGACCAGTCCTGATACTTTTTGATCACAGTAGTATACTATATAGTATATTATATAGTACACATAAATTTACTTTCTTACTATAGACAATATTTTTTATTCTCTTAATGGTTTTTTCAGTGTTATATAACGATACAGAAGCTTTTATGTTACCCTACAGAGTCCATACATTTTTCGACATTACTAATAGTTATACATACATAATAATGTATTTATATCTATTTCCGATGTTTTATGCATCTATCTGTCATATGGCGGCGATTTGTTTATTAGTTATTTTAGTATTCCACATTTGTGGCGAATTATCCATTTTATCATACCGCATCAAAAATGTCACAACATACTCACAAGATATAGTTGTAAACAGAATTCATAGTTTTGTTCGAATGCATCTCAAAATAATATGGTAAAACTATTATAGTTATATTTTTATAATATAATTTCAATAATACCCAGTTATATATCTTTTTTATGCTTAATTTATTTCTTTATTTGTATGATTTTATCAAAATACTATGACGATGAAAGGATGGCGAAATCTGTGGATAATATTTTTAATTTAATTCTTTTGGATGAACTTCTTGGCAATAGTGTTGTATTGGCTATTTCAATGTACTATGTCATAATAGTATGTATTATTGTTATTAAATTTTTTATTATTATTATAAAATAACCTAGTTTACAAAAGTTTACGTTAATAGCACTATTAATAGTACTACAAAGTACAGTTTAATAATATTTTAGGAAATACAATGACAAAAGCTATATTTTAGGAAGTTGTCTAATTTAATTTTTAATTGATAACGTGATTTTTACTACATTATCTTTCTTTTAAGTCAGAGAGGATTTTTCTTCAATAAGAATATAAATGCATTTATATATTCCATAAATGCATTCATATTTTTCATGTAATTAATGATTTAAAATAGTAGTTTATAGTAAATTTTTTGTTAGGAAGAGATTGAATTCAAATTGTTAACAAAATATTTATCAAAAAAATCTCGATTTAAGAAATATTCTGTATTTTAAATAATTGTTAATATTTGTTAGAATTTACAGGTTTCAGAAATGGCAACTTGTTGCACTTTTATATTTTTTGCGGTTATTGCGCTTGTTATGCTTTTTGGCTACTGTTTAATTGGTGATCAACTGACACAACAGGTTGGATATAAATAAGCAATGATGTCAAATCGAGAAACAAATCCTTCATTTGTGTATAGAGGAAAAATTTATATTATATACTAGGACTGTGAATTAATTTTGAGGGATTTTTTTGTAAATTCAAGGCTTATTGTAAAAAATTGTGTACATTATTATTTTGCAAAGTATTGTCAACCGCTAGCCACTACTTTTTCCCATCTTTCTGACAGCATACAGATTCCGCGTTGAAAGAACAACTCATTTTTTGATGCTATCCATCAATCGATCCAATTTTTCATATCTTCGTAAGATTGAAAGCGCTGCTTAGCAAGGCCGTGTTCCATGGATCGGAACAAGTAATAATCCGATGGAGCAATATCTGGTGAATATGGCGGGTGGGGTAAAACATCCCATTTCAGTGTTTCTAAGTATTTTTTGACTACACGAGCAACATGTAGTCGAACGTTGTCATGTTGAAAAATTACTTTATCGTGCCTTTGCTAAAATTGCGACCGTTTTGCACGGCTCAAACGCATCAATTGTGTTCGGTAGCGTTCACCAGTGATGGTTTCATTCGGTTGAAGCAGCTCATAGTACACAACACCAAGCTGATCCCATCAAATACAGAGCATGAGCTTTGAACCATGAATATTCGGCCTTGCCGTCGATGTTGATGCATGACCAGGCAAACCCCACGATTTTCTACGCTTAAGATTATCGTAGTGTATCCATTTTTCATCGCCAGTGATGATACGATGTAAAAAATCCTTTCTTTTTTGCCGTTGAAGCAATTGTTCACACGTGAAAAATCGCCGTTCTCTCGGCTTCAATTCGTATGGCACCCAATTTCCTCGCTTTTGAATCATACCGAATGCATTTAAACGTTTGGAAACTGTTGTGCGATCAACATTCAACGATTCAGCAAGTTCATCTTATGTTTGACATGAATCTTGATCGAGTAATGCTTCCAATTCCTCATCTTCGAAATTTTTTGGTTGACCAGGGTGTTCTTTGTCAACTGTATCGAAATCGCCACTTCTAAAACGTCGAAATCAATACTCACACGTTTTTATCGATGGAGTATGTTCACCGTAAATTTCCAACAGCATTCAATGACTTTCAGCAGCTTTTCTTTGAATTAAACAGGAAAAGTAAAACTTCCTTTTAAAATAGTGTTTTGTTGGCTCGTAATTCGACATCTTCGAAGTTGAGAAAAAATATGTTGTTTACACTTCAGCAAAATGACACAGAATAAAAAGTAAAGCCTAATGACAGAGCTTTGACATGAATATAGTTACAGAAATGTCCGATGCGATATAACATAAGTTACGTCATCTATTGTAAATCCCTCAAAATTAATTCACAATCCTAGTATATACAGTGTTATATATATACGGTGTGTTATTTTAACTTTCACACTCGAACATCTCGAATCATGGCGGCTTCGGTGAAAATTTTTTGTAGGTGAAAAGGTAGAGGAGCTATAAAGATCAACTTTGATTTTTTAATTAGAACCGTCTACTTTTTATTGCATATTCTTCTAGCACATCTCAAAATCTTTCCAAAACACTATAATTAAGTTAGTTTTCACTAAGTACTTTTCGAGTTATGAGGCTTGAAATCATTTTCAATTTTTAATTTTACATATACCGTAAAATATCTTGTAAATTCATTTTTCGATTATCTTATCTTAATACTTTTATATACAAAATAATGAGAGGAATCAATTGGTGTAAAGAAAACACATACTTGTTTTTAAGAAAAAATATATAATTGTTAATTGCAAATTACATATTTTTTCTTCAAAACAATTATGTATTTTCTTTACACCAATTGATTCCTATCATTATTTTGTACATAAAAGTATTACGGTAGGATAATCGAAAAATGAATATTTTACTAGATATTTTATGGTTTATGTAAAATTAAGAAATGATTTCAAGCCTCATAACTCGGAAAGTACTTAATGAAAACTAACTTAATTATAATGTTTTGGAAAGTTTTCGAGATGAGCTATAAAAATATGCAAAACCATATAGGGTGTCCCGTTTAAAAAATAAGAGGTGACCTTCAGGTGATTTTTGCAAGTCAAATTAATGGTACCATCTTATGTCCCCCTCGAAACCATACGAGTTTTGTTGGAAACATTTTTTCATATCTTTTAGACTTTACGAGATATTTCGATAGCAAAAGTTAAAATGGAATACCCTGTATATACAGGGTGTCCATCAATTTTTGACCTTAACGAAATAAGGAAGTAGATTGGCTCAAATTAAAAAGGAATGATTTGTATTGTTTTGGGATTGTAGCAATAATTAACGAAAAATTAAATAAAGAAGATCGGCCGGCCAATCTGCGTGAGTAAATGCGCGCGGGGACGAGAGTCGTCCCACTGTAATCCGATACTACGAACGCGGCGAAGCGGTAGGCGGGTCGCTCTCCGAGACATGATGGTTCACACGACATATCGCAATACCGCGCCTAAAAATGACCCGTCCTTTTAGTGCCCAGAAAATGCGCTATCATTTCCACACCACGTTGCGGTAGATAGCATGGTGCGCTATTTTATAGTGGTTTCCCCCATAAGCCTATTCCACTTTCAATTTGAAAATTATTCAAAATGCCTTACTATACGATGAATATATCGTAAATGTAAAAAATTAATGGTGACAGTACCTTTACAAATATTGATCCGTGGTTGAAAATCCGTCGATAAAATGTATTGCACACATTGATACGATGATAAAATGCTTCAAGAATCCTTTCTTCATCTCGTACACAAAGGCTGGACCGGTTATCCCGATATTATGCACAACACCCAGTTTCACATAATTATTGCACAACACGTAAAATTGTACGGCTACTTGGTTTTCGTGCACGCCCGAGAAATGATTCCATGTAAATTGCGGCCGCACGATAAGTATTTTCTCCCGCTAGTCCGTATGACACAATCATATCCGTATATTCTTGCAGAGTATACTTCATTTTCACTGTTAATTTACTACGCAAACACAAGATTTTTATTAAAACGTCTTAGCTCTCGCACGCTGACTGCGTACGCCAGCAATACGCAACTACAGTTGAAAGCTGAGTGGACATGTGAGTGTAAGCGTACGTGTGAGTTCGACGCCTGCGCACTATGATTACACTCTCATAACCGCTCGACTGTAGTTGCGTGCTGCTGACGTACGCAGTCTGGTAACAGCGTGCGAGAGCTAAAACGTTTTAATAAAAATCTTGTGTTTGCGTAGTAAATTAACACTGAAAATGAAGTATATTCTGCAGGTATATACGGATATGATTGTGGCATACGGACTAGCGGGAGAAAATACTTATCGTGCGGCCGCAATTTACATGGAATCATTTCCCGGGCATGCACGAAAACCAAGTGGCCGTACAATTTTAAGTGTTGTGCAATTATTATGTGAAACTGCGTGTCGTGCATAATATCGGGATCAGTGCATAACCGGTCCAGCAATGCGCCTTCGTGTACGAGATGAAGAAAGGATTCTTGAAGCATTTTATCATCGTATCAACGTGTGCAATACATTTTATCGACGGATTTTCAACCACGGATCAATTTTTGTAAAGGTACTGTCACCATTAATTTTTTACATTTACAATATATTCAGCGTATAGTAATGGCATTTTGAATAATTTTCAAATTGAGAGTGGAATAGGCCTATGGGGGAAACCACTATAAAAAAGCGCACCATGCTATCTACCGCAAGGTGGTGTGGAAATGATAGCGCATCATTTTCTCGCCACTAAAAGGACAGGTCATTTTTCGGCGCGGTATTGCGATATATCGCAAACCACCATCATGTCTCGGAGAGCGACCCGTCCAGCGCTTCGCCGCGCTCGTAGTATCGGATTACAGTGGGACGACTCTTGCCGCGCGCTTCTACTGACGCAGATTGGCCGATCTTCTTTATTTAATTTTTCGTTAATTATTGCGATAATCCCAAAACAATACAGGTCATTCCTTCTTAATTTGAGCCAATCTACTTCCTTATTTCGTTAAGGTCGAAAATTGACGGACACCCTGTATATATATATATATATATATATATATATATATATATATATATACAGCGTGTCCCAAAAGTATGGACACACTTGATTTTCTTGGAAAATAAGCGTGCTAGAAAAAAACGTCAATAACAAAAGTATCGGGAAATCAAACGGTGCATCTAAGAGTGACCTTGAGTTTGACCTTGAGCTTGACTTTCAAGATTATTTGAAGGTCAAAGTGTTTTTTTAATGGGAACCCCTATTTTTGATTGTATATTCTTATAGCTGATCTCGAGAGCTTTCCAAAACACTATAATAAAATATTTTTCCCTCAAGTATTTATCGAGTTATGAGGCTTCAAATCATTTCTTAATTTTACATAAACCGTAAAATATCTTGTAAAATATTCACTTTTCGATTATTTTACCTTAATACTTTTATGTACAAAATAATGAGAGGAATCAATTGGTGTAAAGAAAACATATAGTTGTTTTTAAGAAAAAATATGTAATTGTTAATTGCAAATTATATATTTTTTCTTAAAAACAACTATATGTTTTCTTTACACCAATTGATTCTTCTCATTATTTTGTACATAAAAGTATTAAGGTAAAATAATCGAAAAGTGAATATTTTACGAGATATTTTACGGTTTATGTAAAATTAAGAAATGATTTGAAGCTTCATAACTCGATAAATGCTTGAGGGAAAAATATTTTATTATAGTGTTTTGGAAAGCTCTCGAGGTCAGCTATAAAAATATATAATCAAAAATAGGGGTTCCCGTTTTAAAAAAACACTTTGACCTTCAAATAACCTTGAAGGTCAAGCTCAAGGTCAAACTCAAGGTCACTCTTAGATGCACCGTTTGATTTCCTGAAACTTTTGTTATTGACGTTTTTTTCTAGCACGCTTATTTTCCAAGAAAATCAGGTTTGTCCATACTTTTGGGACACGCTGTATATATACATGTATATATATATATATATATATATATATACTCTTTATTTTAATTTTATATGTGTATTTTTATATGTTTATTTTTAATTTTATAGTCAATGTATTATTATTTTATGCATTACTTTTATAAATTATTTGATGAATTGTTGATAATTCAAATTAAGAAATTAAAACATACAAATATAATATATAAACATTAATAAATCATATTTTAAAAGAAGAGAAATTGCGCTTCGATTATTGTGCTTGACTTTCAATTAATCCGTTTCTTTTATTTGTAAAATATTAGAGCCTTCAATTTTGGTTTAAATTGATTTTGATATAACAAATCTTTAATATAAATTTCTTAAAATTGACATACATATAATCAAATGTAGATTTACTAAAATATTAGTAGGATTTGTATTTATTTTACATTATTGATGATAAGTATTTTTACATTCTGATAATATCTGTATTATTCAATTATTTCCATTGTTTTCATTTAGAGTATAAATGTTCAAGATGCGTATTACCAATGCGATTGGTATGAAATGCCATTAAATTGCAAAAGATGTTTACTGATATGTATGATTCATGGTCAAATAATGCTATATTTAACAGCTGCCAGATTTTACGTATTCTCTTTAAACAGTTTTACAGATGTGAGTATTCGAAACAATATTTGTTTTTAAGTATAAAAATTCATAAGAATAATTTATTACACATAGTTATAATTAATACTATATTTATAATTAAATAATATAGTTATAAGGAATATATCAGAAAAAAGGATAAGACTCTAAATGAAAATATGAGAAGCAAAAAAATACAAAAGAAAATTTAATATATTTATTTTCGATTATTATTAACAACAGGTTACAATTGAATCGTAATTTTAATAATAATAATTTACTTATTGGGATTTTGATTAATATTATTTCAAGAAAAGATTTTTATTAGAGTTTAGCATCAAGTGCCAAAGAAACCGGTTTTAACCTAGATACGGAGAGTTTATATTGTTGTGCAAGGAGAATTTATATCTTTCTGTCCTAAATTTATCACTGATTTGCTTTGTGTTCCCTCCTTCTTAGATTTATACTGTCAAGAAATCTCAGAATTTTTGTTGCCTAGACTTTCCGTATCTCTTGTTCCAATTTTACAAGTACATAGCCTTTACTCAAATACTACATACATGAATGTACAGAAAAACGTTTAGTTTCCAAGAAATTCAAATTTTAATTAAATAGCTAAATAAATAATGTTAAAAATTTCCATTTAAAGAAAGATTAAAATTCAATAATTTTATTAACATATTTTATTTTATTAGTATTATACAGGGTGAGCCATTTTAATCCGTCTATGCGAATATCTTCTCAGGTAGGAGCGATAGCGGAAAATGCCTCAAACAAAAGTTGTATGGTTTTAAGGGAGACATAAGATGGTGCCATCAGTTGACCTTGAATAGTTACTTGAAGGTCACATGAAGGTCATTTCTAACTTTTTAAATGGGACATTCTATGCTTTTACACATTCTTGTAGCTCATTTCGAGAGCTTTCCAAAACACTATAATTGAATTAGTTTTCATTAAATACTTTTCAAGTTATGAAGCTTGAAATCATTTCTTAATTTTACATAAACTGTAAAATATCTTGTAAAATATTCATTTTTCAATTATCTTACCTTAATACTTTTATGTGCAAAATAATGAGAGGAATCAATTGGTGTAAAGAAAACACATAGTTATTTTTAAGAAAAAATATGTAATTGTTAATTGCAAATTACATATTTCTTCTTCGCCTTATAATTCAAAAAGTACTTAAGGGAAACTAACTTAATTATAATGTTTTGGAAAACGCTCGACATGAACTAAAAGAATATCCATTAAAAAGTAGAGAATTCCGTTCAAGAAATTGACGGTGACCTTCACGTAACCTTCAAATGACTCTCCAAGGTCAAATCATTATCACCGTCTGATGGCCCCCTTCAAGCCATATAACTTTTGTTTGAAACATTTTTTATTTAACGCACCGTTTCGGAGATATTTGAGTGTATTATTTAAAATGGGACACCTTGTATGACGGAATTCGTCTGTGGTTAATTTTTTTCATGACAAATTCCGAATTTTTGGAGCTCTGGGGCTTCTCTCGCAAAAGAGGAAGAGATGGCTGCTATAACAATTTTCGAGCTAATATGCTCTTTGACTGATAAGCCATGGCTCGCGGAAATTGTGTGGCGGCCTTATATTGGGATCTGACATGGGGGCGGAGCCTATATGCATACGTCATCAACATGGTGCCGAGAAGCCCATGCTTAATATAGTGTTGTTATGAAACAATGTGATATTTTATTGATTATGTTAATTAGTATACAAAGCATTTGTCATTGGGCTGGTACAAATCCAGCTCAAAGAAAATTCCTTGAGGGTGAAAGGATATTTCAAGCAGGGCATATAATTAAATGCGGTAAAAATATACAAAACTGCAAGAGTGATGTGGTTAGCTTTACTGCTTTATCTGTATTTAAACTTTTAGAACGCGGAGAAAATATCCCGCAATCCATAATAATAATTCATTAATTAATAAAATAGCAGTAAATGCTATGCAAACAGTGGGCTTCTACTGCTGTTATTTCTCGCCACCAGATGTCATGACTACGGATGTCAGATCCCAATACTGCTTTAGATAGATCCCACTCTCGGACGATTTCATTTTCGCCACTTAATGGCGAGGCGCAAAGTTCGTGGATGTATATGAATATCCACTGGATATCTTTGGTAGCTACTGGAATATCCACTGGATATCTTTGGTAGCTTATGGATACATACTCAACATACGCAGAAAAACGAGCCATTAAATTTTAGCAAAATTTTTTAACACTTTTTAATAGCAATAAATCAGCAAACAATCACGATATTGACAAAATAATGCTCAAATTAAAGAACATTTGAACATTTTTCTTAAAAACTAAAAAAACTAAATTTGAGTTATAAAAAGTGTTTTACAAAACAATGCTGAAGATGGACTTTGAGAAATAGAAAACAAATTTTTTTTAAACTGTTGCATTGCTCAGGAGAATCGGTACAAAAATGTTTTTAAGCTTATTTATTTCTTAACAAATCTATATTTTAAACAATTTCTACGATCTTTTTTTGATAAAGTTATACCGTTTTAAAGAAAATGTTATAAAATGAAACTTTCCTTGTAAAATCTATAATTCAGAAGCAAATTATCATTAGCATAATTATCATATTTTGAAAAACTTTTTCAAAAAAAAAATTTAAGTGTAATTCGACTCAAGATGCTTCATGTAGAAACGGACAAATTTAAATCTCTTTTTTAAAACGATATAACTTCATCAGAAAAGAGCTAGTAGAAAATTGATTAAAATATATGAATTTATTAGGAAATGAATGAGCTTTTAAAAACTCATACATTTTTCTATCAGGAAACAAAAATTTTTGTAAAATTTTTGTACCATTTAAAAATTTATTAAATTTATTTTTCATTTCTTAAGATCTATCTTCAACCGTCCGCCATTATGTAAAACATTTTTTGTTATTCAAATTTGTGTTTTTTTTTACTTTTTAATAGAAATGTTCAAGCTTTAATTTGAGTTTTGTTTTGTTTCAATACGTTGATTTATTGCTATTAAAAGATGTTTGTAAAAAAATTGTGCTAAAATTTAGTACTCCATATTTTTTGTGTGCGAATGTAGATATGTGGAATACTATGTGTATATTTAGTGGATATCTTTAGTAGTTACTTAGTGGATAGATATGTGAATGATATACATATATATATCTACTAATTATTTGTAGAGAATATAGACTTGATATAGACATTTAAATATTTATTAAATATTAGATGATTTTTTCTGTGTGGCGTATTTATTTAAATATTTTTAATTAAATATTTTATTTAAATATTTTTAATATTTATTTTTTATTTTTAATGTTTCATATTTTAATACTATTCAAATGCTTTATAATTTCTCAAGTATTCTTTGTATAATTTTGGGTCAGACTAACTCAAGATAATGCTAAACTAACTAACAATATTAAAATCAAGATAAAGAAATCCGTGAAGCTGACCATTTTATGCATAATATTTTTTTATTTTTCGATATCATTTTGCTGAAGATAAATAAAAGATAAAAAGATAAATAAAAAGTTGATCGGAAACCGAAAATTTATATATTGTTGTATCTTAATATGTATATTGAAATTTAATCAAATTTTTTTATGTCTTTCTCTTGATTCAATTGTTATTTGAATTGTTGTTTTCAATTGTTACTTTAGGCTTCTTATATGTATATTTATCTTATAGTTATTTCTAATATCATATTTATATAAGAAAGGTTTATATTAAATTGTCTTAAATTTTTTTTAGAAATAAACTCTTTATATTACTCTACAATAGAATTTATGTTATTTCTTTACAATATATATATAATTTTTGTCTATGTAAAAATGTTTCTATTTTCTAAATTCTTTTTAGATTTGAGACAATTTAAAAGTGAATCTTTCCTAAGTTTATAAATTTCTTAATTAAGTCATTTTTTAAATCAAATATATATAACATTAAATTTTTATATTAATACAGGTTATCAAAACTTCTTTGGCATATTTGTCGATGCTACGTACTCTATTATGAAGAATTATTAAAAAAGTGCATATACACGTATAATATAGAAAATGAATTTGTATACTGTGAATAGAAATATATATATACTTAGAAAGTATTCATACTATATGCGTATTACAATGTATACAGCGTGTGTCAAAAGTTCCGGGACGGCTGGATAATTTGAAAAATACGCATCACAGAGGAAAATGACCTAGACAAAAGTTGTAGAATTTTTCCCGGACAATCCGACGGTGACCTTAGATTTGACCTTGGATAGTCATTTGAAGGTCACATAAAGATTACCTTCAATTTCTTAAATGGAACCCCCTATTTTTCATTGCATATTCTTGTAGCTTATCTCGAGATCTTTCCAAAACACTATAATTAAGTACCTTTTTATTAAGTACTTTTTGAGTTATAAGGCTTGAAATAATTTCTTAATTTTACATAAACCATAAAATATCTAGTAAACCATTCATTTTTCGATTATCTTACCTTCATACTTTTATGTACAAAATAATGAGAGGAATCAATTGGTGTAAAGAAAACATACAGTTGTTTTTAAGAAAAAATATGGAATTGTTAATTGCAAATTACATATTTTTTCTTAGAAACAACTATGTGTTTTCTTTACACCAATTGATTCCTCTCATTATTTTGTACATAAAAGTATGAAGGTAAGATAATCGAAAACTGAATGGTTTACTAGATATTTTATGGTTTATGTAAAATTAAGAAATTATTTCAAGCCTTATAACTCAAAAAGTACTTAATAAAAAGGTACTTAATTATAGTGTTTTGGAAAGCTCTCGAGATAAGCTAAAAGAATATGCAATGAAAAATATGGGGTTCCATTTAAGAAATTGAAGGTAATCTTTATGTGACCTTCAAATGACTATCCAAGGTCAAATCTAAGGTCACCGTCGGATTGCCCGGGAAAAATCCTACAACTTTTGTCTTGGTCATTTTCCTCTGTGATGCGTATTTTTCAAATTATCCAGCCGTCCCGGAACTTTTGACACACGCTGTATATTGATTTTCTTATTTATCAATTTATCACATATAAACACAAAAGTTATAATAAAGTAAAATTAAAAATAATTTTCATACACGTAAAAATGATTCAAAAATGCCAAAAAACTTTGTTTTCTTATTTTTTGAAATATTGTTCTTGAAAAAAAGTAAATGCAGACATTTTTAAAATAGAAGATTAATGATATCGTTCTTCTTCTTTAAATTTACTTGATTCTTAATATCGTATACCATAAAAATCCAAATTCGAACTTATAAATATGAATTCGTTCATAAATCTAAATACGTAAATATGAATTTTCAATAACTTTTATAACATGAATTTAAAAAATGTAATTTTTGTTTAAAAAACAATAATTGATGATTGATTGTAATTGTTTTTTTTCACACATAACTTATAACTATCCAATAACTATATCCTATCTCCTTATTTTTTATGTAGTTTTGTTGTATAGTATAAATAACCCAGTAAGCAAGAAACTTTTGATCAACATTCTAAAATGTTGATTTTATATAAATTTTCTAAACATTATGATATAATGTTTTATAAATATTTTAAAAATATTCTAATAAACATATTAATAACATTTAAAAAATATTTTAATTTATGTTTTATATATTTGAAAAATATTATTTAATAACATCCCTCTTAAAATATTAATAAAATATTTTAGAAACATTAATCAAAATGTTTTTTATATGTTATTAATATGTTTATTATAAATAAAAATATAACATCCAGTTACAAGTTCGTTCGCGTTGTTATTAAACGTCGTATTTATTTCATACATATCTTTAGACCATTTTTTTTTCATAATATATCTTAATTTCTTTCTCGTGACGGGCATGACGACATCTAATACGTTACTGAGAAGCAACATTCGGTGGGATATGCGTATACACTCTATTGCGTATGCGTGATTTATTCTTTTGTTCTTTGACTTCGGAACACTCGTACCGGCTGCCAGCGTGCCACGTATCTTACACGATCTCGCATAATAAGTAAGTTACAGTGTTTTTGCGAGTTATAGTGCTGTACGAAAGAAGAGGAAAGTGTTTCTTCCAGTGTATTATAATACCTTGTAAATTATTTTTAGAGATATGTCTAAATATTCGTTCTTAGATTTTTCAGTGAAAGTTCTAAAAGTCTTAAATTAATGTTAGAATTAATATTATTGTGATATTAATATTAAATTATGTAGATGTTGATACTAATATTATTTTATTATTTATTTAATTTTATGAGAAACATTATTAGAATGTTAAAACAACATTAATACAATATTACTTGTAACGACATAGAAAATGTTATTTCAACATTAAACCTCAACACGAAACCTCTAAATCGGTGTCAAAGTTTGTTCATAATGATGTTGCATACAATGTTAAAAACTACATGACATTACTATGTTAATGAATATCATTATAATAACGTTGTGGTAATAATTTTTTGCTTACTGGAAAGAAACACATTTTTTATAAATGTTCAATTTTTTTTTTACAAATGTTTATTTCATTATAACGAATGAAATATTCTTTTACAACCGATAAAACCGACATTCTTTGAATGGATATCATCGAGATAAAATGTGTAAAGAAATGTTTGGCAAAAAATATCAAGAAATCTTTTATACACAAATTTTATGATTTTTTAATATAATTTCATTAATGCAAATATGTAAAAATTTTAAAAATATTCGAAATATTTTTTCTTCTATTTAAAAAAATTTTTAATTATTTAATAGCAAAAATAAAAGAGCTTTTAAACTCAAATTATACCAAATAACAATTCACACTTATGCATATTTATTCGTTTTTTTATCAGTTTAATTTTTGGATAAAGTATTCGTTTTTTTTATCAGTTTAATTTTTGGACAAAGTATTCCAGATTTTAAACTAATTGTTTAAAAATAAACAAATAAGTATTCGAATGAGCGAAATTTGTTGTGTTTTTTACATCTATTTGAAATGTTAAATTTAGAAATGGAATTCCTATTCTATTTATATAAACATTCTGTATAAATAAAATCTTGAGTTTTATAAATTGAGTTGTTTAAATTTCACGTTGTAACATGCAGTTTTTCGCATACCGCGAAATCTCTACAGAACGTATGATGCATAAATTGGATCGATAGTTTAGAACTTTGTGCACAGGAAAGCATATGAATGGATCAAATTGGTTTCGACAATTGAGAGTATACTAAACGAGAGTATATTAAACGTAACGGTTCAGAGTATCTCTATCGGATCTCATACTTTGTGAACTACACTTCGGCAAAGATCAAATCTCTCTGACAATGAAACTCTGATGGACTATTACGTTTAATATACTCTCGATTGTCAGAACAATTTGATCTATTTTGTAATGCTTTTTCGCGCTCAACTTTGTCCAATTTCCGGAGAATGAAAGACTCTTGCACGAATACCTCATTACGAAAGTAAAAAGAATTCAAAAAGAAATTTCAAATATCGTAAAAAAACAATAAAAAACTATTTTGAAAATTAAATTATCAGTTGGAGAATTGGTTCTATTAACATGTTCCGTCCCATATGGTCGCATATGCTCCACTATAAACTTTAAAGCCATTGTGAAATTTTCATTATTTAAATGAGAATTTAAAAAAATTTTTTTGTAAAATTGTATATTGATGTCTAAATATTATGTATAGTACAATTATTATACCATGAGTCGTATACGACCCACGCGGCATAAAGATGTTTTTCCATAATCCTCATTTCAAAGTTTATAAAAAAATAGTAATATTGCAAAATTTGTTATTTTAAAAAATTTATTACATAATCAGCAAAAAATCTTACTATAAAAGTATTGATATTCTATGATGATTCCTGATAAGTTGCTTTTATGCTTACCATGTTTTTGTTACGTCCGGTGGACTTCACGATTCTGTTCTTTCATCGAAACATTTTTTAGAAGTAATCAACGATTAGGTTGAATTTAAAATAAAGAAAACCCAACTCGGATAAGCAAGCAGAGTGGCCTATCGAGATAGCGCTAGGAAAATTTAAATAAAATTTTAATTTACCAGCCTCGGAAATGTAAGAAATTCAATCCACGCGTATCAATGGGTCGTCTCAGAGATTTTGAAATAAGAGCCTTGGTCATTGGGAAATTGACCAAAAGGTAAATACGAGCAGAGCCATAAAATTAATATCGCACGTGCGCTGGATCAATAGGCCATTCTCAATCAAATCGTAGGAGATAAGGAAATCAGGTCGCTCCCACTCTCTACTGGATGGTGAAGCCAAACTTTAAGAAAAAGGGCTTAACCAATTAGAGGTCTAAGACACCCTCTCTTCCTAAAAATCTAACTCCTTGATCCCTAAGAAGGGAATAGTAAAAATTTTTTGATTGATTAAAAGAAATTCCTACCATCCAGAAGGGAGGAGGAGCAAAAATTTTAAAATTACGAGCCGAAAGCGCGGAGACGACAGTTTTTCAACCAATTTTCACACAGTGTGTTAGTCTCAGAGTTTTTCGCTCAGTCAGAGTTACAATTTAATAGAATTTCGAACCAGTCAGTACAATTGCAATCAGTGATAGTTACAAGTGTAAAAAAAAAGAACATCACTGATTTCACGGCGAACCACTTCCTGCCTGCAACTCCGGGGCTCCGGCCTGAACCAGAAAAATTTCAATTTAACGCTCTCCATAAGTAGTAAGTTTTAACTATTTCGAAATCTCCACTCCCCTTTCTCCTTCAATTAACGACCCTGAAACGATCTTTAAGTATTTGAAAAAGACCGAATGACACTATTCTAGTTCCTTTAGAATTTTGCAAGAACTTACTAAAGATAACAAATTTCCAATGATTCGATTCTCTTCTCCGTAACCCTTAATTTATTCGCTCCGGATTTCAGGATTGGAATTCGCGAATAAACCTCCTAAGATCTTTATCCGCTCGTTCGGGATTTCAGTATTGGAATTCACGAGTATTTCCTTAATTTATTCGCTCCGGATTTCAGCATTGGAATTCGCAAATAAAGCTCCCAAGAT